CTCCCCCCCCCCCCCCCCCCCCGCCCCCCCCGGCGGCAAAGTCCGTGTCTCCACGGTCCACGCCATGACCTTGCTGGCCCAGTCCGACCCGCCCTCGTCTGGTCGGTTCAACCCGGGATTGCAGGACGTCCTCAAGGGGCTCCTCGCCTTCCAGAGGGATAATGGGTCGCCGTTCGCGGTCAACCCGTACCCGTTTTTCGCGTACCAGAGCGACCCGAGGCCCGAAACGCTGGCGTTTTGCTTGTTCCAGCCTAACGCGGGACGAGTCGACGCAGGGACCGGGATCAAGTACATGAACATGTTCGATGCTCAGGTGAGTGGCTTTTTTGTTTTGTTGTTTTTTTCTGAATTTCTCACGAGTCGGGTGGGTCGGGTGGGTCGGGTTTAGGCTTTTTTCGTGAATTGGCGTGGGCCCACCCAGTTTTGAAACGTTGACCTGTGAGTCAAATCGTCAACGTACAATCGTATACGGTTGGTCTTTGCGTCATTTTATACGACTCATACGTTATGAGTTCACGACATTGCCGTAGGAATTTAAGGCTCTTAAGGGCCGATGCTTCTCTGTGGCCGTTCTTATTGTTATTAGTCCTTGCAACCATGAACCATATCCCTCTCTCTAGTACCTTCTATTCTTTCTCTACCCTAGAAAATTGGACACGTGAAATGACAGGATTGGTTGAAAAGGAAATGAGAGAAAAATGTATTTTACTACGTTTAATTTACACTATCATAAGGTTAGGTTTAGTATCTAAATTGTTAGCAAGGAAAATGAGAGAAAAATGTATAACTACTATACTATCCCTTTACTGTTAAGCCTACTATTTTATTTCCAACCAAAAAAGAGTTTATTATTTATTTAACGGCTTATTTAGTAACCATTTTAATTCTAGTTTTAAATTTTCATAGTGAGAGTAATATTATTCTTTGTATTATTGTCCTTTCTTTTTTAAGTGAAATGATGGGCGCATTGAAACTTATCTGATGTGACCTTAACATATATGCATGGTGACAAGGTCACAGGCTGGCCATCACAATAATTTTAGATAGGTCCATGCATGATATGATTTCCATTTGAGATTGGATTTATTAGATTGAATTTGAAGAAGAAAAAAAAAAAAACCTCGAAGTGATGTCGTCTCGTCGACAAAAATAATAATAATCTGGGACCACCATAACCTCTTACTTTTGGACAAAATGTTAGTGAAACTTTAGTAACATAGTTTTCTTTGGTCATCTTTGCAAATTCAAATCATTGTGATGATGGCTTTGGATTCTTTCGCAGTAGGAAGATTATGTAATTGATAATGACTGCCTAACTAAATTAGAATTTGGAGAGCTTTCAATAGTTTGCTTTGGCTCAGCTGGCCTTTGTGATTTTGAAGTCACTGATTTGACATTAAATTCATGACCCAATTTGAATGTGCAGGTTGATGGCGTACGGTCTGCCTTGAATGCAATTGGATTTAAAGACATTGAGATTTTGATTGCTGAGACTGGATGGCCATACCGTGGGGATAGCAATGAGGTTGGGCCTAGTGTTGAGAATGCAAGGGCATATAATGGCAATTTGATTGCACACCTTAGATCCCGGGTTGGAACTCCATTGATGCCTGGAAAATCTGTCGAGACTTATATCTTTGCACTCTATGATGAGGATTTGAAACCCGGTGGGACCTCCGAGAGGTCATTCGGGCTGTACAAGCCTGATCTAACCGTGACATACGATGTTGGTCTCTCAAAGAGTAGCCAGGTGACACCATTAAAACCTTCTAGGGAGATGGTCTCTTACCGCACATTTTGATATGTTATATATATTGGTTGGCTGTCAATCTAGGCGATTAGCTAGGTAGATTGTCGGTTAACTATTTAGGGTTCAGGGTAACATGTAGAAATTTTATTTTTTACAATCTTCATGCTTAATGATTAACCCTTATATTTATATCCTCAGACACCTTCGACGACACCATCGACACCTTCGACACCAAGAGTGACTCCTTCACCTAAGCCTAGTTCAGCATGGTGTGTGCCCAAAGCTGGCGTTTCTGATGCTCAATTGCAGGCAAATCTTGACTATGCTTGTGGCCACGGCATTGATTGCAGTGCAATCCAACCGGGAGGTGCCTGTTTCGACCCGAACACCGTAGCATCCCATGCTGCCTATGCCATGAATCTGTATTATCATACTGTTGGGACAATTCCACTCAATTGTGATTTCTCACAGACAGCGACTCTCATATCCTCAAATCCCAGTAAGCTTTCCTCACCTTTAGAAGCACATATATGAAATTGCCCATTTCGACCATGATGAGGACACACTTAACGAACTGAATGATTAGAAATCTAAAAGATTATGAGCTTTTGATTTTCTAAATTAAGTCTTTCAATTGGTTGCAGGTTATAATGCTTGCACTTACCCTGGTGGAAATACATGACTACATGGTGGTGAAGCAAAGAAAATTAGTACGATATCTAGTGACGGATTTGTGAAGATTAGAAATCAACTGAATATAAGGAATAAGGTCTTGGTGTGCCTTTTTTTGTTGTTAATTTATTATATATAGCCCTTTAATTGTAAAGATTCCTAGTTTTTATTGGGATATCTGTTAATTGTAAGAACTCTAGTATACTATTTGGGAATGTGAACGTACTGCTTCTCTCCTTTGTCTACGCAAATTGGTAAAATCTGACCGTTGATAAAACAATTCACCGATACATTGGATGCACCACACAATTTACACGTAGACTTGTAAAAATTGTGTCGGGGTTTGTAGGACTCCTTTTCTAAAGAACATATAAAAATGCAACGTGAACTTTGCTAATGACGACGGGTAAATAACTCAGAGTCGTCAGATGGATATGGATTTCATTATGAAGTTTACATTAACCAAAGCGTTATCAAATACTTATGCTAGAAAAATCCATTTCAGATCTCTAATCTGATATGAAAATGAATATTCATTAGTATAATGATACTTCCCAACTCAAGAACTACTACCAGCAACAAAAGAAAAAATTTGACAGTCTCCTATGTGTCCAAATGCATCAATATCAACATATGTCAAATATTAATATGTATTAACAGTTGACAGTCGCTCGTATACCCTCATGTTCAAGTAACATGATCATGTGGTTATATCGTCGTTGTAGAAAATGCCGTATGCCATGCACCACCACACACACTCTCTCTCCAATCATAAAGTGGGTCGCATTTTTGTTGTTGTTCCGTTGATGGCAACCTGACATTGCCACATACAAATGATAGTGCAAGCATTGAGAGAAGAAATACTTATTAGTTGTAACGGAGATATTACTGTTTTGCTATTTTTGATCAATAATATTTTGTAACGTGAAAATATAGCGGTATTAACAAGAGATAGCAAAATAATGATATTCTCATTTAATGAAAGTATTTCTAGGCTCTTCTGCTTTTAAAAGTATGAATATTACTTGTTGTGACATATCAAACAAAACCAAAAAATATACATGTTAAAAATTCAATGCAAACTGTTTTTTGTAAATATGCTATCCCAGAGAATATATTCTCCAAATGAAGAGATAAAAAATGAGTGATCCACTACAATGAACATCGAAAGCTCCATCCTTTGCCTCAGAGATAATGTTGTGATGCCAACAACATCAATATAATGATAGCATATTTTTATCTTCTGAGTATCTGAACTTTGTTTCCCCTCCAAAACTCAGCTCTTCTGCACCATTGATGGTGTGATACGTTATCATTTGTAGCATAATAAAGAATCTTTAAAAAAAAAATAAAAAAAATAGAAGCAACAACCTGTATATAGAAGAGGCAATTCAATTTCACCATGTACTTCGCGAATGAGGCAATTTAATTCCACCATGTATTTAGTTAGTTCATCCGTTAAAAATTTTCATAAATCTGATAGATCAAAAGTGAAGCCCACGAAAATAATTCTGGAAATCACAATAGATTTCATGACTGATAATGGAAATTTACAAAAAATTAGATTATGAACCCCAAGTCGAAGTTTGATCATTTGTAGCATTTCCTGTGCCTCAACTTGCATCAGCTATGAATAGTGAAAATTCAAGAAAGTAGAAGAAGTGCCAGAGGAATAAGAGCTTCATTTTTAAACATTACTACATCTCCTAAGATAGATAGCACATGCATCCTTTTTTTAAAAATTAAAAATTTATAGTTTTTCTTTTTTATTTAAGAGTAAAATGTGAAAATAAATGTAATATTTTTAGTTTTTCTATATATAAAGGGAGAAGCCCCAAAATGTGAAATTTTCAGATAACCTTCAAATACCCTTTGTTTGAAAAGAAATCAAAAGAAAACAATTTGATATGATGAGGACAGAACAGAATGATACAAAGCAATTTATTTAAAAGAAAAAAGAAGAAGTAGAGAAATAAAACAGACCCAAAAAAAAAGGGGGCACCACATATAAACTCTTTATTAGAACCCAAATACCAAAAATACCCACATCCAAATTATGAAGAAAAACAAAATTCATTTGACTTTTATGCGCACATACTAAATGCGTTGTTTTTGCTAGAACTAAATACAATTTTGTTGTTGTTGTAAAGTGATATTAAGGGATGGAGGTTTTCTCGCATACGCATTATTAAGGTGCAGTGTGGGTTCAAACCTGAGATCACTGGTCTGTAAGTTAAGACCTTTTTTCCACTAAGCTAGACCCTGTTGACCTAAATACTAAAACTTAACTCACGATGCAATGAGTTTATAGTTCAAGTGATTAGGTGTTGTTTGGTGGCCCAACTTGGATTGAATTGGAGTTGAGTTCAAGCAAATCTTGTGAATCTCATCTCTCTGATTTGTAAAACACAATATGTTAGATTGTCATCTATTTGAATAAATTTAGTCCCCAATGTATTAAACAACAATTAAAACTCATGTCTATTTTAATTGACAAATTCAATTCCATCACCAATGTCGCCGGAGGTCCTAAAGTTGGAGTCATTCTTCCCTCAATATTGCTTTGTATATATTAAAAAACTCAACTCATGATTAAGTTTGTTTAAATAAAAAGTGTTCATACACCATAATTAAGCGCAGCCAACAAAAATGTACACGTCATCCAAGTATAATAGTAGCATTCACATGTGAGTTGTGACTTGTGGAGCTATGAGACTTACACGGTGTCTCCCATCCAGCACACCTCCCCAAAAAAAAAAGCCAAATGGACCGACGTGGGCCCCGAGCCGCCAGTCGAAATTACGCTTCTACCCTCACGACCCATGCCCAAGTCACCAACCTCTTCACATCACAGCTCTCACTTTCTCTGCCAATCTCAGAGACTCGTTCAGAGGCGAGACCACAACCACCACCTTCTCCCTTTTAACCTTTCACACCTACACGTACGGAGAGCTTCCTGTACTTCCCCGCAAGTTTGAGCTCCGGATTCAAATTGAAGAAGAAGAAGAAGAATTGAAAACCCTAATTTCGCTTTGAATCGGAGGAGCTCTTTCACTTCCGCTCCATGACCGGCTTCTAAGCTCGAATTCCGAGCAATGTCAGTCGCGGAGCTCAAAGAGCGCCACGTGGCGGCGAGCGAGACCGTCAACTCGCTCAGGGAGCGCTTGAAGCAGAAGCGAGCCTCGTTGCTCGACACAGATGGTATGGTGTGTGGGTTTATGGTTTCCTAAATTATCAATGGATATTATTATTATATTGGTCTTTTTGGGGTTCGAGATCTAATTGGTTTTTGATGGTGAATTCTTGCAGTGGCTGGGTATGCAAAGTCTCAGGGGAAGACTCCGCTCACTTTTGGCCCCACCGATCTCGTTTGCTGTAGAACCTTGCAAGGTCATACAGGAAAGGTATGATACTTACACATACATATACGTAATACATATACATCATTTGCTTTCTGTGCTTGTGTGGTTTTTTGTAAAAATGAGCTTCTTTTGAATGCACATTCATATGGGTTAATGGAATTGTTGGGCATTGGTAGTTTGAAGTGTGCTATTCAGAATAAAAAGCTAATTTTTTTAGATTTTGAGTATGTGAAATTCGTACTAGTGGGGTATGTCTAGTTTGGAGAGTGTCGATTATTTGTTGAGGGGGAAATCATGCCTAACAAAATGTCCACAAAAGCACTAGATGCTTTATTTAGCAAGTTAGGTACAAAAGAGGGGAAAAGACATTTACAAGTTTGCAAAACAAAAAAGGGGATAGGTTGATTAGGGATATGGAGTAAGTTAAATGTATTGAAGACAGTGGTCAAAAGTATTATTAATAGGCAGTGACATTTTAGGTAATACAAAAATTATTTTCCAGGATTATTAAGTCTGGAATACCTTAGGAACGAAAGTGAAAACAATAGACCATATCTATGGATGGAAAAGTCCAACCAATGGACCAAAGGTAAGAGGATTACTTATAATGATCAGGAAGAATCAAGTTGCACGGCCTATATAAAGGGTAGCTCGATTTACACCGAAAGAGTAGCTCTCTACGTCCATCATTTCTTAACCGAAGAACTTTATCCTTCTACACCCACATTTCCAAAATATAATTAAGAAAAAGAATTCTTTCAAATAGAAACCATGGTCGGTTGGGTCTGGATTTAGCCATTTCTTCTTTCATTTTCTTTTGAAATCATGGGTGTAGGTTAACATTTCCCCTTTAAGAAAACTAAAGGTGTAAGAGAGCAACTCTTTGGGTGCAAAAAGAACCGCGCATGGATAAAGTTACTCTATAGTTTTCTGGAGTTGAGTGTTTAGCTATGTTCTTTAATAAATTTTGATTGAAAGAGAAATGGAAAATGAGTGGAGAAAAATCAGTGTGGCACTTTGATTTATAAAATTAAATTGGATATACGAAACTTGGGAAATTATACAGGAATTAAATTAATGATTCAAGTAGATTTAGATACGAAACTTGGGTACAGATATCAGATACAGAAGAAGATACGAATTAATCTCTGAAATTAGGATTCTGATACAGCAAGGATATGGAAATAAGTTAATATATTTTACATTATGTCTGTGTATAGTTCGTTTCTTCTGCTCTTCCGCTCCTCTAATCTTCTTCTGTAGGATGCAAGTAGAAAAACCTATCCCGCTGTTTCTGCGTCACACCAAGTAAAAATAGCAGCTTCTACTTTCCAACTACTTTCCCTGTTTGTGTAATCTTTTCTTCATATTGATCCTTAAGTTTATGCCAGTTTCTCATCACTTTCCCATTTAAGTCGGGCCAATCTCTTTTTAGGGTTCCATACTTTGGGACTTTATGTAATAAGGTTGGATGGTATAACAAAGGATATGCAAGACAATATCCCATTCCATGGTGTATAATGTCTATTGATGGCATTGTTTTGATACTTCTAAAGAAACTATAAAGATGGGAACGCGTTAGAATTTATTCCATTCTTTGTAGTAATGCATCTTATTGATAATGGGAAAGAAAGTGTGCAAGTCATTGCAATCTTCCAAATAAAGAATTGTGATGATAGAATAGGAAGTGTACTTAGATTTAAGTCAATTTGATGAGGTTTGTTGCCACGTTTTTGGTATCATAATTTCATTAAACCCTTCTGACAGTTATCATAGTTCGATAGACAGCAAAGTTACAAAGCCTTAATTCTAAAATTGCTTATTTTTATTTATTTACTTCTCTATTGATAGATTAGCAAATATGATATGAAACTCTGTGTATA